AAATTCATTTTTTCTTAAGAATTTGCTCTGTTTACATGTCGGTTACGAAATCGAGCAGATATAGGCTTTCCTGGAAATCTTCACGAGGGAATAAGCACTCCATAAAGCGGTAAATGGAAGCTTGCTAGAGAGTTTAACTATCCGAGCGGTTTAAATGAGAGTGAATCAGGCCGATTCGAAGCCTGCCGGTGAGCGTCTCGTCTTTTTAAGAAACCTCGGCGAATACACTGTTGAAAAAAAACTGCATCCACTCAAACCATAGTATCTACGGAAAAAAAGACTTTTGAATAAATATACTAATGTGGTCATCCACAAACAGGCCTTGTGGTTAGACATTCGATTGTTTGAATACGGGATCGAAACTCTACCGATTTGGCATCAGTCGGAGATGATTAAGATATCGGCGCAAGGTCGAAGGAAAGGGAAAATCTAACGAATTCATTAATGAAGAGCGCTTCGTTATTAGCGGCGACGGTTACTCTTTTGCAATTAACTTTTTCCTAATAGACCTCGATCGAATAGACGAGAGCTTTTACTAATATTTTTGAAATCAGTCCATTTATAATATTAATACTCTTTAAATTTACATTGAGCACTATTTTGTAAAAATAAAAATATCTATAAGAACACCGGATTATATATCTTACTGTTCTTTTTTTTTATTACACACACACACACACACACACACACACACACACACACACACACATATATATATATATATATATATATATATATATACATATATTATATTACTTTATACACACACATATATATTATATTATATTATATATTACTTTATACACACAGACACACACATATACATATTGTATATTACTTTACACACACATATATATATATATATATTTATTATATATTACTTTATACATACACACATATATATATTATATTATATATTACTTTACACACACACACACAGGCACATATATATATATATATATATATATATATATATATATATATATTTATATATATATATATTGCCTTATTACAGTTAATTGGTCGTCAACATTGTCTTCATAAAATGTGATAATTTTCATGGCTATTAATATTTTCTTTCGATTTAGCTTTCAGAACAATAAAAATAATTAAAAACAAATGACATTGAACGACACAAGTCAGAAATTGAAGTGTTATTGAATTTTTGATTCGTGAACAGATTGCACAGTAGGTAATCTATGATTAATATTGACCGACCATCAACTGGCATCTTCTTGCCTCAAACTATCAATGCTTCATATTAATCAACCCTGTTTCAGAAATCCCAAGCATTTATAGGATGCTGTGTTGAAAATCATTTCCCCTCGATCAAGAAGTGATTTCAGTTGAGTATATATTCCGATAGATTTACAGTAGACCTGCTCTCACACACACACACATATATATATATATATATATTTTTAATTTAACATAGGTTTAATAAAAGAATTTTATAATCTATACAATATTTCTATATCATGGCATAATGCTGCAAGATGCAAGAAAAATCAGTAAATAATTGTTATATTTCAGAAATTATATGAAATTAATAAAATGTAAGCGCAAAAAGTATTCGTACAACATTACCTATTTAGTACTTTGTAGAATGTCCCTTACACAATTCAACAGCAATCAGTCTCTTTGTTTAGCGTTTAATCAATGATTTACAAGTTTCCGTTGGTATTTTACTCCATTCTTCTTTGCATATTCTCATTAGGTCCAGGATGATTTTCTGAGCTCTTTTATTAACTTGAATTTTTAATAAACGCCACAAAATTGGATTCTAGTCTGGCGACTGTGATGTCCATCCAAGTGTATTGACATTGTTTTCAATCAGACATTTTTGCTCTATGCATAGCGTCATTATCTTGTTGCAATTCCCATTAATTTAGACCAAGCCTTTCTCCTGATCCAAACAAATTAGAGTCCAAAACATCTTCGTATATTTTTGAATTCATTCTACTATCTATTATCTAAACATCCACCCAAGCATGATATCGCCATCACTAAATTTCAACGGTGGGATTGCCTTCTTCGCTGCTAAACGTGAATCCTTGAAGTACGCCCAAATAGTTCAATTTTTACTTCATATGTCCATAAGACACTTACCCAAAATGATTCAGGTTTATTCTTTTGTTCAAGAACAAATTTTAACCGGGCATCCCCATGTTTCTTCAATAGCAATGGAGTTTTTCTTGGAGAACGCGATCCTAGTTGACTTCTGTCAAATTCATTGCTTATTGTTGACTTCGTAACAATATCTGATGCTTTTAATTCTTCCTGTATTTCTCTGTCAGTCGTCATTGGATTTTCTTGAAATTTGCGCTGAATTCTTCGTATTTATCTGGGGGAAATCTTGCGTGGTGAACCGGATCTCGATTTGTTGTCAACAGTTTTCACCTTTTTATACTTAGTAGTCGTAGTAAATGGTATATTCAGGTTATTTGCTATTTTCCTATAGATTTTGCCTTCCTTCCAATGTTTGATGATCAATTCTTTTTGCGAAGTTAATAGTTCTTTTCCTTTCCCCATGATGATAATTATTATGTATAATTTGTGTGCGGAGATAACTTATATATATAAGAAATGAATTGCGAAATGTTCTAGATTGTTCCGGCAATAAGACAATTGGAAGAATCTAGCAAATTCTTACAAAGAATTACGTAAATAAAGGTATTTGATATTATTAAGTGGTCCATTTAGTTTTCACCAACGCTCTCTAAACCACATTCAAAAGTGACCATTTCAGACCTGGACTGATGATAGCTGGCACTCAGCAGTGCTAGTTTGAATTAGACTTTTTGCTGTATAAAACATATATGCTCTGTTATAATAAATACATTGAGCTTTCTGTGGATCATTCTTAATATCTGATATTACTAGGATCCACCTGGATTATACACCAACGGATCCATCACCTGTACTATCTATCTATCTATCTATCTATCTATCTATCTATCTAACTAACTAACTATATATGTATATATATATATATATATATATATATATATATATAGATAGATAGATAGATAGATAGATAGATAGATATAGATATAGATATGTTCTGTTTATACGTTATAGATTGAAATGATATAAATGATGTGTTTATATTAAACATTATTAACTATATTT